TAACCCACACTGATAATCATTTCCAACTCAACTGCAATATTAATCATAACAGCTTCATAATAACACACGACACACACTTTAAACACATTCATGCATACACCACATGCTATAAGCAAACGTAAACTTACACTAACGCTTATAACATGCTCATGCATCACCATACATGATTCAAAATGGGATCATGTATGTTAAAACTATAAAGACACAATAAATACATCAATACAAACACAACATGTGCTTTTAGCACACCCACATAGGAAGCAAGGATACACAGTGGTCAGAAGATAAACAGAAGGGAAATAAAGCGAGGATTGTTCATGGGGTTGCAAAACTGATCAGGGAAGACAGTGTTTGAAAGAGGAGATGTTACTGAGGAAGTAATAGCAGAATTCATTTGAGTGGAATTAAGAAGCAAAACAGGGCCTGATTATACGCTGGGGTATTCTATAGCGCTTCAATATGCATATATGTACCTGTATGTGTGCATGTGTGATAGGAAGAGAGAAAGCAAGAGAGTGGGTGACAGAAAGAAAGGAGCAAATCTGCAAGGAATTCACAGAGATGTGCAAGAACTATAGAACTGTAATACTGGAGCATTTAAAAATCCTTTAGGGAATGTAAGCTGGGCCAGCATTTAGTGAACATCCTGAAATGTTGTTCAGAAGGTAGTGGTGAGCTGCCTTCTTGAATCACTGAAGTCCATGTGCTGTAGGTAGACCCACAATGTCATTCAGTGAGGGAATTCCAGGATTTTGATCCAGCGACACTGACGGAATGGCAATAGATTTCCAAATCTGGATGGTGTGGGGCTTGTAAGGAAACTCGCAGGGGCTGGTGTTTCAATGTATCTGCTGCCCTTGTCCTTCTAGATTGAAGCGGTCATGGGTTTGGAAGGTGCTGGGTAAAGATTTTTCGTGAATTTCTGCAGTGTATCTTGTAAACAGTACGCACTGCTGCTACTGAGCATCGATGTGGAGGGAGAGGATGTTTGTGAATGTGGTGTCAATCAAGTGGGCTGCTTTGTCCTAGATGGTGTCAAGCTTCGCAATAATGTTCAAATGCAGGGTAAGAAGGGAAAGAGTTTAATAGAACAATATGAGGTAATCTACTGTGGCAGAAGAAAGGGGAAGAAGCAATATGTACTTCATGACACTGTTCCAAGGAGAGCAGAAATCTGGGAATTCATGTGCATTTGGACCTTGATGGTGGCAGGATATACTGAGGCAGTGACTGACAATGCATATTAGCTCTTGGACTTTGTAAATGAAGGCATTGTGTACAGAAGTAGTGAAGGTAGGCTTTGTTTTCTTTGGAACAAAGGAAATGAGGGAGATTTGTTAGAGGTGGACAAAATAGTGACCATTTGTTTAGATAAGGCAGACAAAAAAAATTTCTTCCCATTAGCTGATGGCACGAGGACTAGGGGACACTGTTTTAAAACATTGGGCAAGTGATGCAAAGGGGAATGTGAGCAAGATTTTTCACACAGAGAGTGGTAGCAGCCTGGAATACACTACTAGAAGAGGTGGTGGAAGCGGGCACATTGAAGACATTTAAGAGGCACCCAGATGGGTACATGAATGACTTAGACTCCCTACCGTGTGGAAACAGGCCTTTTGGCCCAACAAGTCCACACCGACTCTCACAGCATCCCACCCAGACCCATCCCCCTATAACCCACCTAATCTGCACATCCCTGAACACCATGGGCAATTTAGCATGGCCAACTCACTTAGCCTGCACATCTTTGGACAGTGGGAGGAAACTGGACCACCCGGAGGAAACCCACGCAGACACAGGGAGAATGTGCAAACTCCACACAGACAGTCACCTGAAACAGAATCGAACCCCTGGTGCTGTGAGCCAGCAGTGCTAGCCACTGAGCCACCGTGCCGCCCACTATAGGGAGGGAATAGAAGGATACGGATCGAAAAATGGCAGGTTTGTTTTTAGATTAATTAGGGCACGATGGTCGGCACTGGCTTGGAGGGCCGAAGGGCCTATTCCTGTGCTGTACTTTTCTATTTGTTCAAGAAATGTCTTCCAGTAAGTGGTAATGACCTGGAAGTCAATGTCCACAAGGGTGGTGGAAGCAGAGATGATGGTTTGAAAAGGAAATTGTTCAAAGTCTCTTACATTTCTTTCTTTTCCAACATTAATTTCTCATCCTCTCAGGATTTACTACTCTCCCTTTTATACAACAGTAGAAGCTTTTATTGCCTTTTTATTTCTTGCTGGTTTCTATGCTTAAGCCTTTTAGGCATAATTCACTGGTTCATAAAATTTTCTCAATCTTCTGCTTACCATTAATCTTTGCAGTATTTACTTGTAATTCAATACTATCCCTAACTTCGCTTAGTTAGCCACAGATGATCCATTCTTCTCAGAGTCTTTCTTTCTCAATGTTATATATCTTTTTGTGAGCTATGAAGAATTTCCTCAAATGTTTGCTGTTATCTTTTTCTCACTTATTCAGGGGATGGGGGCATTGCTGGCTGGGCCAATATTATTGTTCTTCCCCAATTGCCCTTGAAAAGATGGTGACGAGTTTCCTTCTTGAACTGCTGCAATCTATTTGGTGTAGGTGCAGCCACAATTCTGTTAGGGAAGGAAGCTCCAGAATTTTAATCCAGGACACTGAAGGGATGGTGACATAATTCCAAATTCTCCGTATTGAATGGTGGAGGTGGTGGGCCAAATGGACTATTCTTGCTTCTAATTCATGAGTGCTTTCGCTCCAGGTGCATTGCACTGACCAAAGCTCAAACTTCAGGTCATCATCTCTGACCTGCAGTTCGAGTTGCAGAGACTTATTGCAAATATGGATGTTGGGGATCACATTGATGTCCACCTGCTCCCACAGGCTACAGCTGCAATACATCACCTGTCCTACCATCTCTATTATATTTTGTTTAACTATTTAGATTTTTGAGTTACAAAATATTACACAACAATTATTTCTAGTTATATTAAGTTTACTCATCGAGTCATAAATGTAACACAGGACTGATACCTCCCTGGCAGCAGTTTAAACTATAGCCTGAGGTTAGCAACTACCTGCTCGCCTAATTAATGCCTCAAGACTTAGCTCTCAGGTTTTACTGTGTCCTGCTACTTTCTCACACTGTTGTTTGTCTTGATGTGGATGTGCTAGTGTTGTACTGGGATGGACAAAGTCAGAAGTCACACGACACCAGGTTATAGTCCAACAGGTTTAGTTTATATCACAAGCTTTTGGAGAACTGCTCCTTCGTTAGGTGAAGTGGACAAAAGCGAACAGGGACAGAATATTTTGATGGAGAGATAATGGCAAGATAATTTCAGGTAATTAAAAGTGTCAACAGATAAGTACAAATAATGTGAGTGTAATGTCAACAGGCTGAATAACAAGTCTTTTCGGCGTGATCAAAAGTCTCAAAGGGTGAGAATAAGCAGCTGAATAGCAAGTGCTATTCCACTCCACTCCATTCACACTGTTTGTACTTATCTGTTGACACCCTTAATTACCCGGAATTATTTTGCCACTATCTGTCTGCCTATGTATTCTGTGCCTGTGCACTTCCCTCCACTTCACCTGATGAAGCAGCAATGCTCCAAAAGCTTGTGATTTCAAATAAACCTGTTGGTTATTTGTCTTGTAGATAATTTGAACAATATCTCAAATTCCCCCACTCACCAACTTCTGAGTTAAATATTCTGTGGAAGCTGCACTCCAGCGAGCTGGCTTCCGTGTTAGTCACTCTTAAAGATGAGAAAAGCTATTGCTGTTCTATGATGGTCCAGGATGTAGGTATTTTATGGGCAAGAGATGCAGTGGGAATGTGAGGAAGAATGTTATTACACAGACAGTGGTGATGACCTGAAGTTCATAGCCTGTACAGGAGGTGGAGGTAGAGACAGTCAATGATTTCAAAAGAAACTAGGCAGGCACTTGTTGCCAATAAACTTGTGGGACAGGGATAGTGTTTATGAATGTGATTGGGAGTTGGCATGGATTCCATGAGCCAAATGGCCAACTTCTGTGCGCTAATGGCTCTATAACAATGCATAATAAAATCAAACCCATGAATACATATCACATCATAATAAACCTCATACACACACTGCAGATACTAAACAAACACTCATAAAATGTACCACCTGTTTTAAGTATGCCCTTCACATAGACAAGACACTGACAAAGTCTGTAAAACACACACAAATGTTAAAAACAAGTGTAACAAACACAAGGTACACTACAAATGAGCTATCATGAAGCAGTACACACATGCCCAATATAAAAGGAATGCAGAGTGACAGAAGAGCATTTGGAATAATGGAAGTTACAGAGCTGGAACTGAGACACATGGGTTGGGTGATTATGCCATCGATTTTATCTATTTTCTAAGTGGCATACTCAGATCAAATGAAAAGCACAGGCCTGAAACTTGTGGTATAAACAGACAGCCTTCAACTGATCACCACAATGAAATTCCTGGTTACAGATAGGAAACAACACAAGTGCAATTGGGGTCCATGAATCACAAAGTCTGATCTCATTCAGCTCATTCATCTCACAATAAGCCAGTAGCAGCAATATCTCCCACCCTCCTGCAAAAACAAATGCTAAACATTATTTTGAACAGTTTAAGAAAGATGATACCTGATCAGGCATTGATTCAGGTTTTTTGTTCAGGACGCAAGTACTAATACCTGCCTTTGGGGCAGCCACTGGATGGCATGGCACAGCCAGCACAGCACCAATGCTGCTACAGGTACCCATCACATCTTGTATATTATCTGAAAACTTTTCTGGTATTTTAGGTTTTCTAAAGTACTTTTTTTAAAACTAGGATTATAGCCACTAAGTTGAAACTGAGTGAGATCTGACAATGTCAATAGATTATGAGGGGTAAGCTCCTGACCCACAGCACTTGCATTATCCTGAGGGACCCAGGATGTTCTGATATTATAGTAACAGATTCCACTGAGACAGAATCACGTAGTAAAACACTACTTACCTGTTTGATGGGGATAGCTCGTCCACTCCCAATATTGTCCATTTTACCATCTATGCTTTTCTTATCTTTATCGGTGTCACTGCCTTTCCGAGACTGAAGGTAGAGAAGGAAAATAGAAATTTAAAACAGATATTCCCCAAAAACAGGCCAGTGACTTGTTCCATCCCAAACAACTCCCTGAAGAACTCCCTCCTCCCTCAACAGCCTCCACAAACTCTCATGCCAACCTAACCTTACACCAGGTGCTACTTCCTTCCTAAACACATCATCCCACCCACTTCACAAACTCACTCCTCCCCAAATACATACCTCAGGGCTCCTCCTTAGGGCCCAGCATCACAGATTGCTAGTTTCCAGCCAAAAGCTGACTCACTCCATAACTCTGAAATCTTCCTGCCATGGAAGAAAATTACCCAGGTATGTTCAGTGAACATAAAGTAGGTTAAACAGAACCTGGTAAAGTAATAACTTATCAGCCTACTTTTGATTATTGGTGAAGTGATGGATGGGGTTGTCAGCATTTCAATTAAAAAGCACATACTCTGCAGTATTCTGCTCATTGAGATTTTCCAGATCTCACTCCAGTCTTGGTTCAAACACAGACAGACTTAAGACCTGAACTCCAGAGGGAATATCTGTTTCTCTGGAGCAACTAATGATGGTTAAGAAATGCTGGTCGAGTCAGTGAACCCCACTTCCAATGAATGAAATTTTAAACAAACGTGAAGCAAAAAAAAGTGCCCCCCCAACATCAAGGCTGCATTCGATCGAGTGGCATCAAGGAGCCTAAGCAAAACTGGAATCAATGGGAAAGTTTGGGATTGGGAGTTTGAAGATGGTTTTGGTCATTAAGTCCAATCATCTCAGCTCCAAGACATCACAGGAGGAGTTCCTTGGGGCAGTGAGCTAGGCCCGACCATGTTCAGCTGCTTCATCAATGACCTTCCCTCCATCATAAGGTCAGAAGTAGGGATGTTCGCAAATGATTACACAATCTTCAGCACCATGCATGACATCTCAAATACTGAAGCAGTCCATGTCCAAATGCAGTAAGATCTGGACAATATCCAGGTTTGGGCTGATAGGTGGTAAGTAACATTTGTGCAACACAATTTGCAAACAATGACCATCTCCAACAAGTGAAAATCTACTCCCTCAGATTCAATGGCATTACCACCACTGAATCCTCAAACTATGCAGTTGGAGCGAGCCTTCACCACTCCTGAACGCAAATCCTCTTGCGCTAAAGGTTAACATTCCATTAGCCTTCCTAATAGCTTGTTGCACCTACATGTTAGCTTCAGCAACTTGTTGACCAAGGTACCCAAGTCTCTTTGCACATACACTTTTTAACTCACTACTTTCACAAAAAGCCGGATCTTTGTTCCTAAGCAGTAGTGAATGCAATTATTATTTAGGAACAGTCAAATGTAGTGACCACTTGGAATTACCTGCTCCTTAATGTTACAATATTCACAAGTTACTGAAATGTATAGTAAAAAAAAAGAATATGAAAATGCAAACTCATTGGTGCATGCCAATCAAATTCTAATATGGATTAGAGCCAAAGCTTAGGCTAGCACTGTAGTACTTTTCTAACATCAGACTGTCCTTCAGGGAAGGAAATCTGCCACCCTTACCTGGTCTGGCCTATATGTGACTCCAGACCCAATGCAATGTGGTTGACTCTCAACTGCCCTCTGAAATGGCCGAGCAAGCCATTCAGTTGTACCAATCGCTACAAAGTCTCAAAGAAATGAAACCGGACAGATCACCTGGCATCGACCTAGGCATCAGAAAAGACAATGGTGGACACAGCCCCGTCCACCCTGCAAAGTCCTCCTTATTAATATCTGGGGGCTAGTGCCAACATTGGGAGAGCTGTCTCACAGGCTAGTTAAGCAACAGTCTGACATAGTCATACTCACAGAATCATACCTTACAAAAAATGTCCCAGACACCACCATCACCATCCCTGGATATGTCCTGTCCCACTGGCAGGACAGACCCAGCACTGGTGGCGGCACAGTGGTATACAGTCGGGAGAGTGTTGCTCTAGGAGCCCTCAACATTGACTCTGGACCCCATGAAGTCTCATGGCTTCAAGTTAAACATGGGCAAGGAAACCTCCTGCTGATTACCACATACCATCCTCCCTCAACTGATGAATCTGTACTCCTCCGTGTTGAACAACACCTACAGGAAGCACTAAGGATGGCAAGGGCACAAAATGTACTCTGGGTGGGGGATTTCAATGTCCACCACCAAGAGTAGCTTGGCAGCAGTACTACTGATCGAGCTGGTCAGGTCCTAAAGGACATAGCTGCTAGACTGGGTCTGCGGCAGGTGGTGAGAGAACCAACAAGTGGGAAAAGCATACTTGACCTCATCCTTATCAATCTGCCAGCTGCAGTTACATCTGTCCATGACAGTATCAGGAAGAGTGACCATCGTACAGTCCTTGTGAAGAATACGTCCCGCCCTCACATTGAGAATAAACTCCATCATGCTGTGTGGCACTATCACTGTGCTAAATGGGACAGACTTCACACAGATCTCGCAACTCAAGACTGGGCACCCGTGAGGTGCTGTGGGCCATTAACAGCAGCAGAATTGTACTCCAGCACAATCTGTAACCTCATGGCCCAGCAGATCCCCCACTCAACCATTACCATCAAACCAGGAGATCAACCCTGGGTCAATGGAGAGTGCAGGAGGGTATGCCAGGAGCAGCGCCAGGCATACCAGAAGATGAGGTGTCAACCTGGTGAAGCCACCAAACAGGACTATTTGCACGCCAAACAGCAAAAGCAGCAAGTGACAGACAAAACTAAGCAATCCCACAAGCAACGGATCAGATCTAAGCTCTGTAGTCCTACCACATCCAGTTGTGAATGGTGGTGGACAATTAAACAACTCACTGGAGAAGGAGGCTCCACAAATATCCCCATCCTCAATGATGAAAGAGCCCAGCACATCAGTGCAAAAGATAAGGCTGAAGCTTTCGCAGCAATCTTCAGCCAGAAGTGCCAAATGCAAGATCCATCTCAGCCTCCTCCAGTGGTCCCCAGTATTACAGATACCAGTCTTCAGCCAATTCGATTCACTCCACGTGATATCAAGAAACAGTTGGAGACACTGCACAGGCTACGGGTCCTGACAATATTCCAGCAATAGTACTAAAAACGTTTGCTCCAGAACTCGCCACCTTCCCTAGCCAAGCTCTCCCAGTACAGTTACAACACTTGTATCTACCCGGCAATGTAGAAAATTGCCCAAGTATATCTTGTACACAAAAAGCAGGACAAATCCAACCCAGACAATTACCGCCCCAACTGTCACCTCTCGATCATCAGTAAAGTGATGGAAGGTGTCAGTAACAGTGCTATCAAACAGCACCTGCTCAGTGACGCCCAGTTTGGGTTCCACCAGGGCCACTCAGCTCCTGACCTCATTACAGCCTTGGTTCAAACATGGACAAAAGAGCTGAATTCCAGAGGTGAGGTGAGAGTGACAGCCCTTGAAATCAAGGCTACATTCAACCAAGTGTGGCATCAAGGAGCGCTAGCAAAACTCGAATCAATGGGTATCAGGGGCAAACTCTCCGGTGCTTGGAGTCAAACCTGACACATAGGAAGAATGTCATGGTTGTTGGAGGTCAATCATCTCAGCTCCAGGACATCTCTGTAAGAGTTCCCCAGGGTAGTGTCCTCAGCCCCAACCTCTTCAGCTGTTTCATCAATGACCTTCCCTCCATCATAAGGTCAGAAGTGGGGATGTTCGCTGATGATTGCACAACGTTCAGCACCATTCGTGACTCCTCAGATACTGAAGCAGTTCATGTTCAAATGCAACAAGATCTGGACAATATCCAGGCTCGGGCTGACAAGCAGCAAATGACATTCACACCACATAAACAGCAGGCTATGACCATCACCAATAAGAGACAATCTAACCACCACCCCATGACATTCAAGGTGTTACCATCACTGAATCCCCCACAACCAACATCCTGGGGGGTATCACTGACCAGAAACTCAACTGGACTCACCACATTAACAGAATGGCTACAAGAGCAGGTCAGAAGCTAGGAATACTGCGGTAAGTAACTCACCTCCTGACTCCCCAAAGCCTGTCCACCATCTACAAGGCACAAGTTAGGAGTCTGATGGAATACTCCCCACTTGCCTGGACGGGTGCAGCTCCAACAACACTCAAGAAGCTTGACACCATCCAGGACAAAGCAGCCCATTTGATAGGCACTACATCCACAAGCATCCACGCCCTCCACCACCAACGCTCAGCAGCAGCAGTGTGTGCTATCTACAAGATGCACTGCAGAAATTCACCAAAGATCCTCTAACAGCACCTTCCTCTAACCACGACCACTTCCTTCTAGAAGGACAAGGGCAGCAGACATATGGGAGCACCACCACCTTCAAGTTACCCTCCAAGCCACTCACCATCATGACTTGGAAACATATCATCGTTCCTTCACTGTTGCTGGGTATTCCCTCCCTAAGGGCATTGTGGGTCAACTTACAGCAGGTGGACTGCAGTGGATCAAGAAGGCAGCTCACCACCACTTTCTCAAGGGCAACTAGGGATGGGCAATAAATGCTGGCCTAGCCAGTGACGTTCACATCCCACAAACGATTAGGAAAAAACTCTGTCTTTCTCTTCCTTTAAAGCTGTGTTAAAACCTATCTTTATGGCCAAAATTCCAGCTGCACACCTGTCATTTTCTTTAACCCAGTGTCAATTTTTATCTGCAGTCAATTACTTTTAGTCAATTTGTATTTGTTATGTTAGGAAGAGCCATGGGACATAAAACAGCTGAATGAAGGCAAGTTATTGTTGCCCTGCTCTGGTAGATGTTTGAAATCTTTCAGCACCTTCTGGACAATTGGCTGTTTACCTGATGTTATGGGTCAACATTTCAGCCAAACCATCACCAACATTATCAGGTTAACTTTCTTTCATTTCTGCTGCTTTTGCATCTTATTAAAGGCAAGATGTTGTCACATAAACATTTGTCTTTTTTAGAAGGTTGCTGCATAAAAATACCAGCACAATTACAAGGCTCAGATTATTATTAAACACTGAGCCAATAGATGCCTGGCCCAATCGCATTCTCGATTGTGTACTCACTGTGAAAATGTTGGAACGTCGCTTGGATTGTTTGCGGATGGGGGTGGGAGTGCTGGACGCAGCAATTGTTTCAATTCGCAATTCCTTCTGGCTCATACTGGGTGTGGATGGTACTGAAGAGGAATAGTCACTGAAAACCCCTCCATTAGCAGCCTGTGGGGTTCACAACAAATCAAAACAATGAAAACACCACAGCATTCACTAAACAGGATTCACTGTCTAAGTAAATGTATTAAACAAACCATTAATATTCATGCAAAATGTCAATTTTAAATTAAACTCCTAACACTCTGCAAGGTCCTGCAAGGGTTTATAAATTTAAATCTTAGCTGTGCAAATAAGCTGTTCCACTAAGACCACAGATGAAACACTCACCTCTTTCATTTGACTACCTCCAGTTAGGAGGATAGGTCACAGCAAGTGAGTTTACATTTGTATGTACTTACATCTGTTTTGTTCCTTACCTGTCTCTCTTGCATATTAGGAGAGACTGTTTGCAGCATAGACATGTGCATTTAACATCAAACAGCACAGAAGACATCTCACTCACCGCACAGCTGTAACAGCATTCTAGTCTTACTCTTTCCTGGGAGGTGGGCATCTCTGGCTGAGCCAGAAGATATTGCCCTGGAGAAGGTGCTGGTGAGCAGCTTTCTTAAACCACTGTAGTCTGTGCTGTGGCTATATCCACAGTTCTTTTCTGTAGCTTTTTTGGTAGAACTGATTGGCTTGCTAGACCATTTCAGGGGGCAGATAACAGCAAAACACATTGCTAAGATTCTGAAGCACAGAGTGAATAATGACTGAACCCTCTGAATCAGAGGGTTGTTAATGGCAATTTTAGATAATTTAATGATAACCATAACAGGGATAAGCTATTAATTCCAAATTCTTTTATGATTAATTGAATTGTTTTGTTTAATTAGTTCACCCTTTTTTTATATTAATGCTCACCCCCCGCACCTCTGGATGACAAATGGTGACATTACCCCTGTACCATCATTTCTTGCCAATTTTTGACAGACTGACTAGCACCGACAGCAGAGCCTCACCTGGTTAATGTGCACAGATGGAATGGAGGCATTAGGAACGGAGGAATGACTCGGAGAGTTTGGCAGTGATTTGCAGGGTCCAATCGATAACTGCTGCTTCTTACGTAATGCCACAATCTTCTGAGCCACTAAATGAGTGAACAGCAGGCACATTAGGCTTTCTGACTGAGCTTATCAGGTGTCTATGGAAATCTGCTACAAACAGGTTTAGCAATGTTTCGTTGATAAAAATGTTGACGCTGATTCAGCAAAGTTTCAACACTCCCAGGTACTTCAGACAGGCAACAACCAGTAAGCAGAGAATTCAACTGTCAGCAAACTATTCACATCTGTAGCAATTTCAGCACAGATCCCGAAGTTCTGCTCATCCCTCCCCAGCAACAGGTACTGAGACCATTCCAACTGCAAGCCTGGCTGAGATCAGCTGTAGTCCAACCTATTGCTTTTTTTGTGGAGCAGTGGCTGGATACTACAGACGAGACATTAGATCTGTAGCAGTAACAAATAGTTCTCTCTCAGATCCCAACAGACTGACACCCTGTTACAAGTTGCAATACTGCAATGAACCAGCAAACGGGGCCAGTGAGACCTGTGATTTCGGTTGGAACAATACCACCACCTTCAGGTAACTCAGTGGTACTGCAGCCATACAAACCATGTGTGAAGTTTAACAGGTATCATTAAAACGGGTTAAAAACAATTAATTGTATAAAGAGCTACAGTGAACAACATTCTGTCAACAGAAAGGAAAACAGCAGCTACAATAACCGAGAATCAGGCACCGAAGTGCTGAAACAGCCTTTTAGCTCTTATCCAACAGGCTTAAGATTTCTGTGTAGTCAGGGGCAAAGCTTGCATAGTTGATGGGCAAACTGACCATGGCATCATGTCAGTGGAAGCTAATCAGTGAGAGGAGTGAAAAGAAAAAAACTGACCATGGCATCATGTCAGTGGAAGCTAATCAGTGAGAGGAGTGAAAAGAAATGTGGAAGCAATCAAAGACAGCATAATTCAGGGGATAGACACTGTCCTCTCCAGACATAGTTGGGAATTCTGAATATTGTGTTGTTTGCCTGGCACCATGTTGAGGATATCTCCTTGTGGCTGGAGACCCTAGCTTGGAGTAGAAGGGGGAGGATCCAGTTGTCATCATCATCTACATTAGAACCAATGACATTGGTAGAACTGTGAAAGATATGCTGCTGAAAGAGTTTGAAGGAGTTGGGGTCCATATTAAAATACAGAATCTCAAAGTGAATAGTCTCAGGATTGTTACCCAAGTTATTCAAAAACAGGAAATGAAGCAACAGGTTAGAAGTAGAAATACATGGCTGAAAGATTTGCATCGGATTTAGGGATTTCAGCATATAGTAGCCATACTGAGGAAAGAGGGAGCTGCTCCCAAGGGACATGCAGCACTTAAAGTAAGTTGCCATCAGTGACCTGAGAAATCAAACAATGAGGCGAAAGAAACATCTTTAAACTAAAACAGCACATAGATGGATGAGGATGGAGGAAAAGTTGAATGCAAGACAGGTGACAAAAACATCAAAAGTGCAAAGAACAGTGGGGATTTAGACAACAAAAGTAGCCAGGGGTGTGGGGAAGGGATACAGAGAGAGTGTCAAAGGAACTGAGTGTCAAAGATTATATCATATAACAGAAAAAAGTTAAAATCTCAAGACATTATCAAATTGGGTAAATCATTAACAATATAGATAGTTAACAGTCAAGATGGATGGCGCAATAACTGGCTGGGTTATCTTCTGTTTTTTGTGTACAGGATATACCTGGGCAATTTTCACACTGTCGGGTAGATGCCAGTGTTGTAGCTACACTGAAACAATCTGAGTAAGGGAACGGCAATTCTGGGTCACAAATCTTAGCGCAAGCCTGATAGAGGTGTACAAGATTATGAGAGGCATGGGCAGGGTGAATAGAAAACTGAAGGGTCAATAAAAAGGGATACAGTTTTATGGTGAAAGACAGGAGGTTTAGAGGAAAGTTGAGAAAAAGGTTTTTCACCCAGAGGGTAGTGGGAATCTGGAATGCACTACCTGGGAGGGTAGTAAAGCGGGAAATCTCATTGAAATAACTCCACAGAAGCTGGTATCCCGTCACCAGGTCACTCTTTATATACACATGCACAGTACTTCATACCGGTGCAGCTTCTTCAGAGCCAACTCTCAGAGTGAACAGAACTCTTGGCACTCCTGCTTCTATCTGTCAGCCAGGGTTCCCTGATTGGACCAGATTAACAGCCCCAATCAGGGAACTCATATTCTATGAGGTGCACTTGGCCGATCTTGTTATAATTACTACATTCCTCCCCCTCTAGGGTCAGAGGATGTAGGCCTGTTATTTTTCTTGTAGCCCCACCTAGGGTATTTTCGCACCAGGCTCAGCCTCAGATACAGACAGTGTGCACCAGACTGCAGCTTGCCTCTTGCGCCCGGAGCATCTTGGAAGAAATTCATCCTCATCTTCAGGCGATAAAGGCACTGAGGCTGCGATATTTATCTTGCTTATTATTATTTTTGTTACATGTACCCAGGTACGGTGAAAAGTTTTGTTTTATATTTAGTAGAGGGAGATCATAACATACAAAGACCACAGAGTGATTAAACAAAGCAAGGAATACAAAGAAGGTGCACAAAAAGCAAGATCAACATTAGATTTGTAATTGGGGCAGTCCATTCAGAAGTCCATTTCAGACTTGGAGGTTTCTTCAATGCTAGATGGAGGGGTAGAACCCACGGATTCCAACAGCCTTTCCAGCTGTTCTGAGGGGCCAGGTATGTTTCGTTCCTGCCCTATTTGCAAGTTTGCAGCTTTCATGTGGTTCACATGCTTCTTCACCTACCCAAACTTTGTACGTCATGGGACCTGACCTCACGTTGGCCATGTCTCTTACCTATGTGGGGCCACTCCCATGGTTTTGGCACCTATCTTCATCCCCTGAAGTAAACGGCCTCTCTTGTGCTCCTGATGCTGTTTCACTTTCCTCCCCCGGTCCAGGAAGATCAGATTTAACCTGGTGTGGAGTCTTCTCCCCGTCAGCAAGTCTGCTGGAGCTATCCTGTAGTTGCATGAGGTCCAATAATCAAATAGGAACCGGGACTGTTTAGTTTTGAGTGAAGCTGTAGGCTGTTTCTTTAAACTTGCCTTCAAAGTCTGGACTACTCTTTCTGCAGGCTATTGGACGTTGGATGAAATGGAGCTATCTTTACATGCTAAATTTCATTTGACTTTAGGAATTACTTGAATTCCCTGCTGGTAAATGATGCCCTGTTGTCTGTGACCAACACCTCCAGAGCCTGTGTACTGCAAAAGATGCTCGCAGCTTTTCTATCATTGTCCCCATGTTTGACGACTGAACTCAATGCATGTTCAACCATTTTGAGTGGGCATCCACAATGACTGAGAACATTAAGCCCATGAAAGGTCCTGAATAGTTGACGTGTAACCAAGTCCAGGCTTTACCAAGTCAGCCACTCCCATAGTAATTTCTGTCCTTGTTGGCACTCGGGGCACCGCCCCAGCAATGCAACTATGTCTGCATTCAATTCTGACCACCAGACATAACTTCTCACCAACATATTCATTTTTGGATGACCATGGTCTCTGGGTGAAATTTCTGGATGACCCTGGTGAAGTTCAGCCAGTATCTGGCAATGATCGTTGGTCAAGGTAATCTTTTTTGCTCCCCATAATAATATGCCATTCTCTATGGCAATCCAGTCTCACTGGGTCCAGAAAGGTTTCAATTCTGGTGTGTTACCCTTTTGCTTCACCCATCACCACCAGCTGTTTTCGTTTTGCCAGGACCAGATCTTTTCATGTCCACAGACTGATATTGTCAACAGTGACCGAAAGGATTTTCCAGTAAGTTTATTTTGTTTAGTTCTGATTTAGATGTTGCTAAGCAATTTAACTGTTCCAAGCCAGATGTAGGTGGGTTTTCTAGGGTGTGCACTCTCCTGGATACCTGGAGATTTGAGAGGTGGAAAAGTCTACTCTAGCTCCTATTTTATAAATTATTAGAGAACAAAAAAATCTGAGAAAGAGAGCAAAGAAAGAAAACAAAAGGAATGTTTCTAGCCTGGAGCCCTGACTACAGAAACAGCTTCCTGAAATGTAACCTCAACAATGGAATGTACAAGATCAGAACATGACATTACCATCCTGGAAGACCCGTTCTACATTCAGTCCATACGTAGCACATGTCTCATAGTACGTGCATCGCTTCAAGTCATTGGACAGCTTCCGTGCTCGAGCATCATCGATAACCCGAGGGTTCGTTGCACTGATTGCATCTAATGAATGAAGCAACTGCAGGTGGTTAATGAACAGTCATAAAATAATGGATTAAGACAGACATAGAATCACAGAATGGTTTATATCATTAGGCCCATCATGTCTCGCCATCTCTCTGCAAGAGCAACTCCACGAGTCCCACTCTCCTATACTCTCCAAGTCAACCTGTAACTTTACTCCTTTCAGAGACTGATCCATTTCCCCTTTGAGCACCATGATTGAAACTGTCTCCACATCACACAATCAGGAAATAAATTTCAGATCCCAAGTATTCATTACACGGGAAAAATACCTTCCTTGGGTTTCTATTGCTTAATTTGTCAACTGCCTTCAATATTGGCCCTCTTATTCTCGATCCTTTCACCAGTAGAAACAGTTTCTCCCTACTGATTCTGTTCAGACCTCTCAAGAATTTTAACACCCAGATCAAATTTCCTGCTAACCATCCTTTCTCCAAGTAGAACACTCCCAACTTCCCCAATCTATTTATGTAACTGAAGTTCCTCATTGCTGGCACCATTCTCATGAATCTATTCTCCCCTCTCTCTAAATCCTTCCTGAAGTGCAGCGCCCAGAATTGGATACAGTACTCCAGCTGATTTAAACCAATATTTATTGCAGGTTTGTCACAACAGTTTTGCTTCTTCTACTTGTCTCTATTTATAAAGCTCAGGATCCTATATGCTGTTAAATATCTCCCTCAGCCAGTACTGCCATGGTCATCAATATATGCATAGCTCCCTCAGCTCCTGCACCACTTCAGAACTGCCCTCTTTATTTTATCTCACCTCTTTTGTCTTGCTAAAATCTATCATTTCACACTTCCCTGCATTAAATTTCATCTGCCATGTGTATCCACCAGCAGTCTGTGTTTTTGTGAAGTCTATCACTATTCCCCTCAATCTTCACAATACTTGCAAGGTTTCTGTGATCTGAAATTGTGCCCTGTAAACCAGGTCCAGATTAAAGCAAAGGACTTCAAGATTAACCTCATGAACTTTCTGCAGAATGTATCCAATGCCATCCACTCTAACCTTCCCTTAAATAAGGGAACAAGAACTGTTCACAGCATTCCAGGTGTGATCTGACCAGTGCCTTGTATTGTTTTAGCAAGTCTTCCTGTTTTTCCATTCCCTTTGAAATAGAAGCCAATATTGCATTTGCCTTCCCTATTACCCACTGAACATGTACGTTAGCTTTTTGTGATTTACACACGAGGACTCCCTCTCTATTCTACATGCCAAAGTGCAAAACCTCATATTCCCCCACAGTATATTCCATCTGCCATGAATTTCTGCCCTCTCACTTAATCTTTCTATATCCGTTTGCAAACTCTGTGTCGTACACAACACTTGCCATCCCATCTATTTTTCTGCCATTTGCAAACTTGGCTATAGTATATTCAGGGTGTAGAGCTGGATGAACACAGCAGGCCAAGCAGCATCAGAGGAGCAGGAAAGCTGACGTTTCGTGCCTAGAC